TGTGTCTGTATTGGAAATGAGTCCAAACATTATTTTAAATAACCCACATGAAAACCAGTGACCATGAGAAACAAAATAGCAACAAGGGCTTGTTTGTCATTTTTGACCCACAGGTCTCAGAAGAGATTGATTCTTTCAACTTTATAGATGGGATCATGCGGTACTTGTCCTCAGCAGTTGATGGCAGAGCCATAGAATCCAGATTTCCTGGGTCCCCATCTAAAATTCYATTTGGTAAAAAGTTGCAAGCAGTCACACTTCCTCTAAACATTTTCACTGCAGAATGTATTTACTTCATCCAGTGATTGGCTCCCAGGGGAGTTACAGAGGCAAAGCAGGAACCATGCAGAAGACCAATATATACTTTTTAATTCACTTGTTGGTATCCTCAGTATTTCACTTTTGTCAATTCTCTGCTGGTTACTCTCACAGATGGGAATATCTACTGATGTGTGACACTGAAACTTTTCCCAATGGCCAGTATATGATGAGTACCTTGGAAGATTTGCCAGTGTAATCTCTTGTTGAGTTCAGCTCAATGAAAGGGGAAAGTGTATGAACTTCATTCAATTCCCTCCCACACATCAGCAGATTTATAAATAATCAAAACTTAATATGCAAAATGTATCTCCATCATTGAGGGAGGTAAACCAAGATGAAATCAGACCTTTCATATAAGACAAAAAGGGATCTGTTTTGAAAAGGAAAATCCAAAACTAAAACATTAATATGTAGAAGTTAAATTAAGCAAATAGACTTTAAATCAGATCTTCTACTGATGTAATTCAATCTCTGAAGTCAGAAGAGCTATTATTATTAACTAAGGGCCCAACGTTCCTCTTGCAAACACAGTTTTTAATCTTTCTAAAATCCATAGGCAAAATGACTTGGGGAAGTTTATCAGTGAATAATCATCTGAACAGCTTTTACCTAAGACACAGATTTTTTTGTTTCTCTTTCCATCCACCAATAGTGAATACTCATCCTCAGAGTCAAAGCTTGATTCAATTGACTTCTGCTCCCACAGTCAGCACTAACTTCAATATCATCGAGAGTTGGTCCTAAAAGCTAATAGAACTTACACTGTTGTGTGTGCTGTGATTTGATTAACTGTAGTAAAAAGAACACCCAACAGAGAATKCAGGGCTTGTCAGAGAAATAAAACCATTTTCCATTATTCTGAAGTTGGTCCAAAGATACCCTTGATAAAACTCCTTTGACTGAAGTAGAACTACATAAGACATTACTCTGATGTCTGCTTTGAGCAACAAAGTTTTCAACAGCATGCAAATTAATTTAGTGGACTTTCAATAATAGTTTAAATTCACCTATATAAGTTAAATGCTGCTCCAACTTTAGCCACAAATTTTTCACCCTACTTGGAGCTAAATAAAACCCCTTTCCTTTGGGGTTTAAATCATTGATGTGATTCTAATCATAATCTCAAAATACCTTTGAAGACAGCATCACTCAAGATATTTTACACATTACAGAGCAGTTTCTCAAGAAAAAAGATTACTTTTGCAGTAATGTACCAAAAAGTCATCTGTCAAATGAGCAACCTGTGTGAACAACTTCAGTTCTTTAGACTACTCTCTCAGTTCCAACTTAACTCCATGCTCTCTATAAATTCAAAAAAACTCTCTTTGTAAATAAGTTTTTCCCAAATGAAAAGTTTTGAACAAGCTCTGATTATAACACATACTTGTGTCATATCACATCGCACTAGTAACATCATCTGTATCACCTGGCTTATGTATTCATATGCATTGACTATTATTTTTAAGTGGAAGAAGGCAACACATATGCTAAAACAACATGGACATGAAATATCTTTGTTAAAGCTCACTGTTCCATGAGTCAGCAAGAAAAAAGATCAATGAGCGACRTGTCAGAAGACATAGATATAGTCTAGAAAGAAAATTAACATACTTGCATCTCTTAGTCAGATTCACTTTACATAAAGTTTTTGTAAAACAGAAAATATCCTGCCCGCTGTAAAAAGTGTCATCMATCAATATTAAAAAAAGGGCAAGAACTTGAAAGCTATTATTTACCCTACCCTCTAGACCGAGTTCTTATCCTCAGATGAACTTTATTTTTTGACCAGCTCACTAATTGTTATTGAAATCACTGACCCCTCTAACCCACACATAAGCATTTGAGTAACAGCAGCAAGACCAGCCTTAATTGGTCACTTACATAAAAGTGGAAACATAAAACTTCTAAATATAAGTTTCTGGCATATCTTATTATTAAAGACAAATAAGGTACAACAGAGTAAAATTCCAGCCGATTTGCACAGAAATCTCTGCCAATGTGTTTTCTAGTGGCTGCTCTTCAAAGCAGGGATGGAGATGGACAGATACTGCTGTATGCTGTTTGAGAATCCAAAGTAGTCAGTAAATCACACAATATCCAGMGGGTGAATAATGAAGTGGCATTGGGCCATTTTGTTTAATGGTTTATAAGATAAAATACACAATTAGGAAATGAAAAGAAAAAATAAGAAAAAGAGAGAGACAGGTTGCTGGAATACTAACCTTTCTTTCTCAGTCCCACTCCTTTAGTTATTTCTGATCCAGCAGAGAAATTAAATATGCCTGTAAGCCAGCAAGATAGGCTCAGCATCACTCTGATATTTTATGTGGTCTCAATTGGTGGTATTAGAATTTAAATTAGAACCCCCAACTTCACTAAACGAACAACGATTATCTGGACTCTGAAGCTGACAGTAAAAAAAAAAAAAAAATCAGAAAGAAAGAAAAAAACTAAACCCAGCTACAGTCTTTCCCAAGAGCAATTGCCCTTTCTGGCAGGAAGGGGTAAAAATAGAGGCAGCTCATTAATATGGCTTGGCAGTGCTTAATGGCAGCTGGTCTGAAGTTAGATCAGTGGGTCTTTCCAGCAGTACTCCCGGACCACTGCCAGCAGGTGTTGCTGTGCTCAACAAAATGTGGAGGAGTGCGGGGGGGATGGGGAGAAAAATATTTATAAAGAGAGAAATAGGTGTGAAAAAAATTAGTCACTAAGTAAAGCTCTCATTAGGCCTTTGGTAAGGCTATACACAGACTCCCCGAGGCAATAAGGAGCATGCTCTGAAATGAATAATGCTTTTCACTTCTCCTAAACTCCTTTCAGAAGTTATCCTGAGCTATAAATCACATACGTGCTCGCTATGCTTCACTCGGTAGCTTTCTCCTTTTGTCACAGACCACACACTTTGGCAGCGGGGAYCCCGTGTCCCGCCGCCGCAGCGGGAGAAGCTCGGTGCCGGCTGGGTGCTGCCCCAGGAGGGGCGAGACGGGCACAGGCGGCACAGGGCTGCTGCGAGCGCACCGCGCMGCTCGGACTCCAAGGAGAGGAGAGTTCCGTTACTCCCAGGAGTACTTTCCATTCTCCATAAAACCAGTGCAATTCAAGGTCTCTTGCTGAGAATATGTCTGCTGCCAAATTGCGACAGGCACTGCGCTACCACAACGCAACTAATTTCAAAGAGTTTTGTGATGTCAGTTAAAACCGGACTCTGCCTGGCCCTGAGAAGAACAGGATTGCAAGGTGGAAAAGTTCTTTGTTCAAACATGGGTTTAGGATCCCCACTAAAAATAGGGTCCTGTGACTAGCTCGGTATATGCACGTCTATTATCTGTTTCTTGAAGCCAATGTCTCACTGTCCCTGGAAAAAAGAAAAAAAAAAAAAANAAAAAAAAAAAAAGAAAAAAAAAAGAGGGGAAAAAAAAAGGCAAAAAAAGCATTGTTCTTTGTAACAGCTAGAACCACCAAACTCAGATTGCAGGAAAGCTACTGAATCCTGTTTCACTTATTATATGTGTATTAAAAATGCGAAACAAAACAACCTATCTGGTCATATGTTTCCCATTAACTTCCAATTTTTTTCTCATTCTACCAAAGCTGTTGTGTGAATACAGCATACACCCCAGTTGGGATCAACACTGTTATAAGGACTCCCTGGTATCACTGTAAATTGAAAGTTTGAAATATTTCTGATCCAGATCAGCCATATTCCAAGACAAATTAAACTTACATTACCAACAGGACATAAAAATGCAATTATAAGTACAATTAGGGCCAAAAAAAATCTGAAGGATGGGGATTTTCTGGTAATCAGTGGGTGTTATGAATGAGTAAAGACTGCATGATCATGCCATTTGTCATAAACGGAACCACGTAAAGCCAGTTATTATATGTTTAAGAAAGGAGATGGATTTTTTATTTACTTTTGACCTTTTATATATTACTTCGGTATTGCCTAATTGTCATAGTTATTTCTGATTTTCATTAATGTAAATTGAAAAGAAAATTGCTTTTTATTTTATTCCACACTTACAAAAAAAGTGACCTGTCATTCATTGTAATTTATTTTTAGATGTCTAAACAGTTTTTAATAGTGCCATGCAATCTGCACGTCAAGGAGCCAGGAGACTTGGACAGGAGAAATATGATTCATTTTTTAAAGAGCTTTAAAGTGATCCCTAATTTATACAAAAGGACATATTTATTCAGAGATTGAATTTAAAAAAAAAAAATCATCCACAGCAAAAGGATTCCTACTCAAATACACTTTCCTGCATTTGAAAAGAATCCAAATTTGCAGAAAGGGTATTTGGTGCATCCTTAAGTATGTAAGAAAAAAACCCCACCAATTTGGCAAGTAGTGAGTATCTGGCAAATACTGTGTATTTGAAACAAATCAGTGTTATCTACATCTAATAATATCTGTTTCTAGCTATGCAATACAAGTTGGAGTGTGTATTTCTGACTCATAATGTTTGCTTTGTCTGATTTCGAGTTTTATTCTTAAAAAGGATAGTATTCAAGTTGGTCACAGAGAGTGTCATTAGAAAATTACCAGAAGTATGTCTCATCCAGGAAAAAGTCAGCTGCTGATGTAACACGATTAACCAATCCAACAGTGAACCGGCCCACTTTTGACAGACGTTATATGTGAGTGTACACATGAGAAGTACAGTATAAAGCTTTGCATTAAAAATACCACAAAGACGAACTTCAGCAGTTCTTAAAGCACAATACAGCAGTCTCCTTCTGAGAGTCAGGACTAGAGAGGTAAAACTTTCAATCAGCTTTTTTCTTTTAAAACTGAAACTTCTAATTCCTGTGCATGCTGTTGCATACTGTTAGGGCTATAGTGAATGAGCATGTAGACAGCTTTGCAGCTCAGGTAATTTTGTAGGAAGAATCGGAACCACTATTTCTGTATGTATTTGAACACATTTCTATATGCATTTTTGTACATATATGTATATACATGTAAGTAAAAATGAATTATGTATCAGCGGTATTGGAAGGCTCGCTTTTGGAAAACAGTTTTTAGAAAGTTGTGCTTTAACATTAAATCTGTCATTATCATGGCATTCAAGTAAAATATGCTTGAATATGTAATCTCTATGTGATAGAGGATTGTATGAAAAAAATATATGGCAAGCAACATATACCCCACAGCAAGAACTTATCTGTATTTTATGTTGATTTGTGCCTATGCCTTACTTTCATCAGACACTGTTGGGATAGGTGCTATATTAGAACTATAAATAACTTCTTTAATTATATCATCTGTTAGTACATCTAATCATGAATGCATATTTTMATCTGAAATTATTTTTCGCCCAATTAAACTTTTAATTCTATTTCAAGCTCACTCTCAGACTTCATACAATTACAACAGACTTTGGACTGTTCTTAAGATCCAAAAATTTCAATGTATTATAGTGAGGTTTGTGTTACAAAGATGTGTTTATAAGAATGGCTGCAAGGTTTATAATGCTGACAGACCTGTAAGTGTAACAGTATATAACAGAATAGTAACTGAGGTCAGTAAAACACAGATGAGGGGGTACTGCGGATGCCTTATAACAGTAAAAGACTTATAAAAGAGCTTAATTGAAAAGGACTTGCAATATATAACGTTTGTAAGACTTTGGTTGATTGTTCAATTGCTTCTGTATGTTTCATTTACTCTAACTATTATGCCTTGCCTGTCTCTTAGCCCATGTGCCTGTAGTCATCTCAGGGAAATTAGAGACCTTTCAATGCTTATATTTGTAAATTGCTCCTTTTCACTTTGAAATACAATGGTTGACAGTAATATACTGGGATTGGAATATTTGCTGGGTAGGAGGTAAGTGCATCTGAGAGGTGTGTGAGAGAGAATGAAAGAAAGGAGAAGAAAGAGGATGAACACTAAAAAAGAAGCAGTTGCTCTAAGAAAATCTGTACAAGTTAATGCCTGAAGGGGAAGAATCTCAAAAGTTATTGTTATAGCTGTCATTTTTCCATTACCAAATTCAAATGTTAGCAAGTGAGTTTGCAAACTTCAACTTTGCTAGGTAAGGAACAGAACGAAGAGGATACAGAATGTAAAGGCAACCTGAAGCCATGGCACTGATGCAGGGAATGCCTTTTCACTGCAGAGCAAAGCCCTCCCAGGCATAAACTGACAAGGGGCTACCAACACTGGTTGAAATTCCTGTTTCTTGTAGTGCTCTAGATTTCTTTTCATTCCCAGTGTCTTATTCTAATATTATGATTGCTCGGTGTGATTTAAATGAATGAAGTAATAAGTGCCTTCTAATAACAGTGGGCCAAATGTAGAAGATCTTACTCAGCTTGCACTCAGACAAAATTATTATTGGCATCGATGAGGGATTTGCCTGAGTCAGAAGCAAGTATGATTTGGCCAGATGACATGTAACACTTCTCACCTTCAAAGCATTTTTCAGGCATTGCTTGATTAACCCCAAACCTAAACATATCCGCCCGAGAACTTCCAGGCACAGACTAGCATAGAAGTAGGGATATTCCATGGCACTAGCATGGCATGTCATATATATGTGCTGTATCAACTCCTGCTTAGGCTTTCAGTGCCTGATTGCATATTTCAGCTGGGGAGTGTATCATGTATTACAGAGACCTCCAAACAACAGTGCTATTTTGTGCCTGTCAGATCCTTTGCCAGTAATGATAACCCCCAGCATTTAGAAATGAGCAGAAAAGATTTTTTTCTTCTACTCCAGGCAGAATAATGGTCCAAAATATTCAGAGCCTCTGCCCTCATCCCCGTCTCATTCACAAACTATTTAATATCTCCTGCTATCCCTAACAATACCAGGCAGGACCAAGAGCAAGGTGCTCGTTAAAGATTTCATTCTTTTCATTCATTCATGTTTCCTCTGTTTAGTTAAGCCAGTGATACTGTTGAAGGAATAAAACAAACAAAATAAAACCAAAACAAAGGGGAAAAAAGGGGGGCGGGAATGACAGCTGGGGGGGGGGTTGGGGAGAGGAGGGTCAAACAGAGAGAAAAAAAAGGAAAAGAGTAAATTTACAGGAATGAGAAGATATTTTAGAAAGGGGGGAGGGAAGGAACCACGAGTAGTGATATTTGAAGAGAGGTGTGTGTTAGGGGAGCAATGAGCATAAGGAAGCCAGCCTGCCTGTTCCTCCCCCTTCCTAATCATAGCCTTTACTCACAGACAAAACTCCCTCCCTCTCTCATTCACTCACTCACTTTAGGCCAATCCGTCCTCTCTCTCTCTCTCCCTCTCTCTGTGTGTCTCTCTCCTACTCTGAGACAGAGTCAGAACTCTTCTCCCTGACAGCCACAAACATCTACAGCACTTATTGCATTCAGAGAGGGAACCTGCAAACAAAACTTCACAGAAAACTTTTGGTTCTTGTTCCAGAGAATTTGCTGAAGAGAAGGAAAAACAAACAAACAAACAAACAAACAAACAAACAAACAAACTAAACCAGCCCCCAAAAAAACTGTTCGTGAAGGGGGAGGAAAAGCAGGGCCTTTTAAAAAGAGAATCACAACAACTTTCGCTGCCAGGATGCCTTTGCTTTGGAAGAGAGGATTTCTGTTCGTGCTTTGCTGGATTATAGTAAGGAGTTCCCCAACCCCAGGATCCGAGGGGCACAGTTCAGTCACTGACTGTCCATCATGTGCCCTCGCCACGCTCTCAAAGGATGTGCCCAGCTCACAGCCTGAGATGGTGGAAGCAGTAAAGAAGCACATACTGAACATGTTGCACTTGAGGGACAGACCTAATATCACCCAGCCAGTGCCCAAGGCAGCACTTTTAAATGCCATCAAAAAACTCCATGTGGGAAAGGTGGGCGAGGATGGTTATGTAGAAATAGAGGATGATGTTGGAAGAAGAGCCGAAATGAATGAAGTTGTGGAGCAAACCTCAGAAATCATCACTTTTGCGGAATCAGGTGAGTGCTTGAAAAACAAAACTGTAAAATAGCCTTTGTGCCAAAACTGCAATTACCTTATTTTCCTCTCCTCAGCAATAATGTTTTTTTTTTCTGCAAGGTTGTAGGATGAGACTTGGAGGAAGGGAGAAAGAGGAATGGGATGGGGGTGGGGGTAGGACTCTGAAGGAATTTGATTTTTCTGACTTAGTCTTGGCTACAGATTACACTTGCTAAGCACAGTCAGTCACACAGGGAGTAAGCTCTCTAATGCATCTTGAACATAAAGTCAGGCTGCAACAGGGTCCTCCAAACTGTTCTGTAAAGACAGTACTTGCAGTAAAGTGCTGGCTTGGAGAGTTGAGGGTGAAAAAAGAAAGACTGTAGCCTTTTAGGGAGTTTATCAGGACAGAAAGTGAACTGCAAACTACTTGAGAAACACCCCTTTCATGTAAAAATTATAGCGGAAGTTATAAAATCAGTCGAAGCAGCTTTAAGTTTTAGAACTGAGAGGACTTTTTTGTGGGTTTTTTTTTTTTTTGGTCTTTTTTTTTGTTAATTTAACACAGCATCTTCGGCAATAAAGAGTTGCAGAGACAGTCAGATGACTTCAATAGAACTGGACAAGTTGCTGTAGCTGATCCAATTTGCAGTGCAGACTTCTGCATACTGGAAAAAAGATTCTGTTTCTAAAACTCTCCTGCCAAAAAATGCAACCTTGGTAGGGTGTATTTCGAATTCTTTTGCAGTTCTTTTTCCTCTAACTCTTAGACAGTAAGAGCTCAGAATATAGATATATATATTTACYAGGTAAAGTATTAAGATTCACATAAGCTGCCTATCGGAAACAGCTCTAAAGTTGTACTTTACACTCTTGTTCCTCCATAAATATGACCAGTATCCATTTTAATTCAACATATATGTATCTGTATCATGTATCTATGTAAGTGCATGTGAGTATGTTAATGCATGCATCAATAATAGTTACTCGCAGTAAGTCTATCATCTAACTAACAGCAACTTTTTATGATGCTGTCTAGCCAAAGCATTTTTCCTGTTGCCAAGACGGTTTTAAAAGAATGTCATTGTTTTGTTTGGTACAGCATATGGTAGGCAAGTATGCAAAGGAACTCCAAGCATTTTTGTTTAAAAGTTTGCTGCAGCAGTATAAACAATTAAGACAACACTCAGAGTTTCCAGTCCTGAAAACCTGTTGACTCAGATGTTCTGATTTCAGGGAAGCCATACACAAGAAGTGTGCATGCTTTTAAGTGCAGACATTCCTGCTGGCTGTCTGATTTCCAACTGTACAAGGAGCCCCTGCGTTAGGAGTCCTTGTCAATATACACATTATCATATCTTTCAGCACGAGAGCTCAGGCTTTTCAGTTTTTCCATCCCCTCCGCTTCTGAAAACAGGGAGAAAGTGTAACTGCCAGAGGTCATAAGAAGCAGGAGTAGCTCAACATTAGTTTAGTTGTATTTATAAAGCAAGGAAACCACTAAGCTATCTATGAATCCGATTCCCCACCTGGTTTTCAGCAGCTCGCTCTGGGCACATTGGAGCACATGTGGCATGAACAGTGGTTTCTCTTCACTGTGTGAGTCGCAATCATTTGTAAACACATTATTGTCTCTCCTGAGCTCTGACACAAAGGAATTTGGAATTTGATATATGCCTACTCTGTAGGACACCCTCCAACGGCGGGTCCCGAAGCCATTGGCTCTCGGAGTCACGTGAGCAGTAAAAATCATGCCATTGCCCACACACTGGCCAATCATCCTGCCACTAATCCCCCGCCACCAGCGACCATCACTGACACATCACTCGGCTTGATTTACATAGCATTGTCATACTGCTGCAAGACAAATTACTTGAAGAGGACTTAAGCTATGGAGCTGCAGGACAGGGGCATCCACTGTGTTCTCATGCCTTCTTCTCCCTGCTGCAGTTCTCTTCCTTCATACTAATGGAGCTCCTTCATACTAACTGAGCTCTAGTTTGGGTTTATAATGAAAATATTAAATCCACTCTGTGGAGTAAATTCAGATTTCTGAAACATGTTCTTCATATAGAGCCATTTGTATCTGGTGACTTGCTAACATGAGAGGACCATGTTTTACAGGTGTCAATGCTGCAACAACTTAAGTAAACTCTACCTGAGATCCTTTCCCCTTGTGCTCTGGTAGTTTTGCCTGTCAAATATTAAACTAGTATTTTTTTTTCCAGTTAAGGAAAGTGAGGCAAAACCAAAGGCAAGTGACATGTTATATAGGAAGTATGAGTTAAAAAGACAGGAATAGAATAAAGCCACAGGGATGATCTCCACTTTTCATTCTGTGGGAACTGGGAATAGCATGAAGAAGTTTAAACACCAAGCAGGAGAACAAAYATTTCCACTCACAGTCAGTTTAATGTGTTTTCTGCTTTTAATGTCAAACTCACTCTGCCTCGATAGAGGGCAACAAGAAATCAATGGAAATGAATGAAAACATCTCACGTTGTATCAAATAAAGGTCTATAAAAAGCAAAATAARAATTTAGGATTCTTATTCCTTTGTGTATGGCTTGACATAGAACAGCCTTTCCCCATGCCTTTTAGAAGCCACCTTTACTACATGCCTTAATAAAAATGTAGTATTTCCATCTTTCATCAGTCATATTCTCAAACATACAAAGAACTGGAGTGAATGAACATCCAGTGCCTTGTGCCTGTGGCTCTGGCTTGAGACTGCTATTTTCTAAAATAGAAAATTTTAGAATATAGATATTTTCTAAAATAGAAAATTCAAACAAGCACAGACTTCACACAATTAGAGGGGAAATAAACACAGTAAACAAGTCTGAAGCACACATGTAGTTATGTCCAGAAAATCAGTAGAATAGTTGGCAGACAATTTTTACAGCTAACAAATCCAGATAGATATCTGCAAAACTGTACGTAATGAATGTAGTTATTGGGCAAAAGTTTACAAATGCACCCTACTGTCCTTTGGCACTCTTACAAGTAAAACATGAAAATTACTTTCTACTTGCATATTGAATTAAGATTACTAACCTCGATTAGTTCTGCTGTGAGGGTAGCTGTGCCAGAGTTCTGTGTGTCACTTCAAGGTTTTAAAAATATTTTTTTGAGGAGAGGGGTCATACAAGTTTGTGACAAGCAGATCCAACAGGTTGAATAACAGAGATACTCAATGCTTATAAATATGACTGGCTAATAATTTGTTCATTATTTTAAGTACAGAGTTTATTAGGCAGATCTGGGATTTTGCCAACTGAATTTGATCCTGGCACATCAGCCCCTGAGAAGGTTATAGGAATTACTGGATGGAAATACTAAAATCCAGGGAAACCCTCCCCCACCCCCCCCCCAAAAAAAAAAAAAAAAAAAAAAAAAAAAAAAAAAAAAGTCTGACACCTATTTAGACCAATTATACTGTTTTGTACTTCATACAGAATTCAGTTTGATCATGTGCTGACTACTTTCATGTGCACATGGATACCTGTGTGTACATACTCGTATCTTTTTCCAGAAGATACCAACCAATACAGACAAAGTGGCAATTCAGGAGAAGAAACCAAAGGATGTATTTTGAATAATTTCAACAATTTTCTTTTGAAAAGAACTGTATTTAAGGGTACAGGTATTAGTCTTGAATAAAGAACGGCCACGAGAGGGCATTCTCCAAAGGCTTTTTGCTGCAGATGAGGCAACCTTCCTGCAAGCTCTTATTTTACCCAACTGGATTCTGAATCCCAGATATCTTTATGCTTATCTGTAGCTGTTCTGAGTGGGGTTCGTTTCTCTCTTCTAGTTTATTTAACAGGCAGGGATTCACTGCAGTGAAAAGCTGCATGGAAAATAATGCAGGAGGGAAACAGGCAGAGGGGTAAAAGATAAACTGGTGGATGCTAGAAGTGCTGGAAATCTAGAGAGATCAGAAATTATAAATATTTTTTATGAGATACTGAGAAATGTGACTGTGAATCATCATCTGAGATGATTTTTTCACATCTCTTTTTCTTTTTAATGCAGTCTTCTTTGCTTTTAGAAAACAAACCTATTTTCCCTTTTTTTTTTTTTCTTTTTTTTCTTTCCCCGTGGCACACCAAATCAAAGATTTCAAGTTTAACAAATGAAAGCAAGTTTTTTGTGGAAGAGGAAAGACATTCTGTATTGATCTGTTTCATTGTAGCAAAATGTGAGAATTCAGGGTGGTTTGTTGGTTTAAAGAACAACCTGAGAAAGCACAGATGAACCTGGGAAGGTGGCAACCAGTTTAGCAAAACATACCTGAGAGAGATGGAGAGTACTGTATATGTCCATCTCTGTGTGTAACCATGCCCTCCATTTTATATGCAAATGCACGGGGAAAATCTGAATGTGTATTTGCCTGTAAGTGTGTATAAGCACGCGTATGTCCTTAATTACAGGGATGCCAGGGCAGACATGCTTATAAACCTGTGCCTGTGCCCACACCATTCCTGCAGAGAAGAATGTGCATTCATGTGTTTTCCTCTATGCAGGATATATCTACCTTGCATACATGTAAGTGATTCATGCTGAGGAGTTCTTATATCTATATATAGGGATATGCCTATGAGAAGGCAATCTCATTTAATGCAACAGAGCTTGGCAACATTGATTTAGGATTGAGGCTTAGTCTACTGGAAACAACTGAAAGTTCTGTTATTCATTTCAGTGGGTTTGGGATTTGGGCCTTAGCACACAGAAATTAAATATTTTAATGAAAACAGACTGGCAGCCTCTGATCTACCTAATTTTAGAATTTACAGCAAATTATTACAAGTATGTACAAAAAAAATTGCCCTCTCAAAAAAAGACAAAGATTTGATATTGTTTTTACCTTGGAATATTTTRTTGGTGCAAATGACCCTAAACTTTGTTTGAGCTATTTTAGATGTAAATGAAGAAATGCAGTTAAAAAAACTTTCAACTGAACAAACACCTTTTTTGTTTCTAAATATTTAAAGCCATGTGGGGGAAGGGCTTTTAG